GCCACACATTCACAAGTTCCACCTTGATTACCAAGTTCCTACCCTTTCAGGGGAAGATCTCCATCAAGTGGTAAAACATAGGAAAAAACATGCCGCACCCGGCCTTGATGGGTGGCGAACCGGGGAAATGCAGTTGTTGCCACAAGGTTGCTTCGATTGGTTTGCTGCCTTCTTTCGCCGCCTTGAAGACAGCAATGAACCCCTCCCCCGTGTGTTGGCTACGGCCCGACAAGTCATTCTTAATAAGAACGGCAGTTCGGAACCTTTGCAGAAACGCCTCATCACACTTTTGCCGGTCATCCTTCTTGCCTATACTGGTGCACGCTTCATTCACCTCCGCCAGTGGCAAATGCACATTATGCCCATTCAGCTTCAAGGGGGCATCCCACAAAGGCACATGGCAGCTATACACACCCAACTTGCGTTTTCGCTTGAACACATGCGCAATCACAATTGTGACCTCATTGGAGTCAAGATTGATAAAGCCAAGTGTTTCGACCGCATTATTCCTGAGTATGCGGGTGCGCTCATGCTTGCTTTTGGTGTGCCACGGTGCATCGTTTCCATGTTTTTGAAGCTGTACCAAGGGCTGTCTAAACACCTGTCGTACAAGTCATGGGTTCAACCGCTTGCCACTCATGGTCCCAATGGGGTTGCACAAGGCTGTAGCTTGTCCCTCATCGCCATTAACGTCCACATGAAAGCATGGGTTCACTTGTTGGCTGTGCTGCCCAATGTCACTGCCCAAGCTTTTGTTGACGATGCCTACCTGTGGACTCGCCTCATCCACAAAGATGATCTGTACCAGGCAATCCGCATCACCCAGACATGGGATGCTCTCGTTGGTCAGGAAATGAACTGGGCCAAGTGCACAATTTGGGGAACTTCCACTGATGCGCGGAAATGCATTAAACAACTCTTCCCCAATATGCGCTTTGCATTCGAACTCGAGGTTTTAGGTGTTCACATCCAGACAAGTTTTCGAACCACTTCACACTTTTCTGAAGATAAGGTGGCCAAGATAATCGCTGACGTTAAGAACATTGCCTGCCTTCCCATCACGAAAGCACAAAAAGCCAAAGTTATTGGTGCTAAAGTAATCCCGCAATGCACCTATAATGCTGCCATTAATAACATTCCCGCTCGTGCTCTTGCTCGGATACAAGGTGAAATCGTAACAACCTTGTGGCACAACAGACCGCACTGGCGGGCTAAGTTCTTGGTTTTTGCTTTTTTGTGCAAGCCTCATCGGGTTGAGCCTGGATGCGCGAGGCAATACAATGCCATTCTTGACGTTTGTAGATATTTGCACCTCTTCCCTGAAGAATGGAGCAGGTTTCATCAACTTCTACAGATCCCGAATAAACATAAAGGTGCCCTGACCAGCAGACTTCAAGATGCCTTTCATTTCTTCGGCCTTCGATTGAGCAATGATGGCATGCTGGAATATGCTGGCAGTGCTCTTTGTCGCCTGGAGCAGCTTTCGCCTCGAGACATTCGACCTGTCCTTCAGCAACTTGCCCGGCAGGTTTGCTACACATTGGCAAGCCAGCAAAGTAGGAAAGATCTTAGGCCACCGACTGGAATCCTTGACTTTTGGCTTTCTACTTCCTTTTTTAGGACTTCTGAAGCTGAAACCGACGACATTCCCAATCGTGCCTATTTTGAAGCACAACTTGTTGGCTGTGTGTTGACGAAAGATCGTTTAGCTGCTGCAAAACGAATCCCTGATGCCAACTGCCGTCTCTGCGACCACCCCAAAGAGTCACTGCCTCATCTCGTTCGTGAGTGCCATGGAATTCGTGATATCCACCACCCACCTCCTGTCCATGAGTTAGGACCCAACTTTGAGCTTCTGGGCATCGTGGAACATCCCTTTCCTGTGTTGACCCAGAGATTGCAAGTTTCCGACCCCAACGAACTTGTTCTGCAACCATGGGACCCTTCGATCCCTTCCTGTACTGTTTGGACTGACGGATCGGTTCAATGGCCGAACCATTTTCTGTTGACTTGTGCAGGTTTTGCGGTAATAAACCATGATGGTTCCACACTTTGTAAGGGCCCGGTCCATCACTGGAACTTATCCAGCTATACTGCAGAGTTGTGGGCTTTCATTGTTGCTTTTTCGTTGGCCTCAGGACCTCTCCAGGTTCGCACGGATTGCAAGACCGTGGCAGATCAAGTTCTTTTTATGATACAAAAGGACACCATTGAAGACTCATGGCCGCTTCAACCATGGTGGAAGTTTTTGTGCGCCTTGGTCATTGCACGAAAACAAACATGCGAACAACCTCTTGATTGCGTTTGGGTCCCTGCACATATCGCTGAGGAGGTTCCTGACATTCTCCTCACTCCTGCTTTGGCGAAGGGAAGGATCACGGAACAACTGTTTTGGATATTCTCAACAATCGCAGGGCTGATTTGGCCGCTAAGCAAGCTGCCATCCAAACCGCAGCCATTCACCATAATGTTTACAGTGAGTTGTGTGCCGCCGCTCTCCATCGACAGCAATGGTTGACTGGTGTATGCAAATTGGTTGGTTGCACCTTACCACCCAAAGATCTTGACTCGGACGAAGAACCGGATGTTGATGCTGTTCAGCCTGCTGACCGATACCCCTTGTTGCCTTGGAACGACGATCAACGCCTTTATACGTGGGCTACTCCTGTTTCCTTTGGCGATCAACCTGTCAGCGGGTGGACGGCACCCCAACCGGATTGGCTTCAGTTCACAAAGTTCCTACAGAATTTGAAATGGTGGGTCCATGACAGTGTGCGGATTTCCTATGCTGAGTTGGCCATTTTGTTTCTTGGACAGGGTTATCGACTGTCTGACTTCCATGACGAATTCTTCACCTTCAAGAGTTTAATTTGTTGTGTGAAAAAGTGGTTTGGATTGCTTCATCGGAAAGGCTTGACTCCCTTGCACCCTGGAAAGCACGATGCCCATGATCACTGTGCTTGGGGGAAAACTATGCCGAGTGGCATCATTGCAGGTGCACGACCCTGGCGAACGAAGAGCGATTTAGAACTTTTAACCAACATTGCAAACCGTGTAGTGAGGGCAAATCTCTCTGCATGGGAGTTTGCGGTTCATGATTTTCTGTAGTGTGGTGTCGGTCAATCCTTTGCTGCTGTTTCTTTTTAGGGGTTCTCATAAGTCACCTTGTGGAATGCGGGTGACTCTGTACAGACGGGTGAACCCGTCGTGTGCGCGAGAGGCAGAAGAGGATCTACAGTTCAAATGAAGGGTTTTTTGTATATCAAGAGTCCACATTCCAAAAGTTATATACTCTAGACTTCGGCAAACACTCATCCGCTTCAATCTTTGCTGAAGCTCTTTGGCGGGTCTGAGCCACCCGGGCTGACCATGCTACGCGCCATGGCAGCTGGAGTGTTGATTGACCCAGCAAGGAATGTTCACCCGTTGCGCTCAACCGCAGCTGGAAAGCAGAACCATTTATATACTTCTAAACCATGTGTTGAGCGTGCCATGCCACTCATTCACGGCCCCCCCAAAAATGCTTCGCTCCACCGGATGTTTGGGATTTTCGCTCCACGGGGTTTACGTGCATATTCTCTGTTTGAGAAATATTTTGACATGAAGTATCAAGAACAGGTGTTCTTCTTGAACCAAGACCGAGTGAGCAACAAGCGCTGGAAACATGAAGTATCATGAAATGCTAATCTCCTGGAAGCGAGCTCGGGGTAGTTCACGTAGACGTGAGCCACTGAGGCGGGCCACATGAGAAAAGTTGAGCGGTGAGTTTGTGCTTTTCACCTGATTGAGCCAGTGCTTTTCACGACGTGTGGGCGGCTTGTCCTGTAGGCAGGAAAGCATGTTATATTATGAATCATTAGAATCCAATCATGTTCGGAAGTTGGTGAGTGAATCAGGCAAAGTGATGGCAAAGTTTCTATTGAACGCAAGCTAGGTGGCTTGCAATGATCAAATTGGGCTGACAATCAACCCCAGAATACATAAACCATTGAACCACTTGATGCTTTTCTCTGGACGTGATCAATTCAATACAGCCAAACAATTTCAAATCAGGCACCATTGGTCATCTTCAGGCACTGACGTCCAATTGTCATCTTCAGAGCCACCACTAAAGCCACGAAAGAACGTCCACCCAACAGACCAAAGTGGTCCATTTCCTCTTTGTCCATTCCATCCCGACAGAGCGCGCAGCTCTGCGCGCGGGACCTCGGTCCAAGAACCAGGGTCGGTGGACATCGTCCCAAGGACCGCCAGGGTCGGGACGGCAAAATTCCTGGATCTATCTGAGTCATTCCAGCTTTGAGCACATCCAGCTCTGAAGAGCACATCCAGCTCTGAAGAGCACATGGGTATGGCAAGAGCACATGGCGTGCTGCTGGGTGCAACAGCCTTTGTTGTTGAGTGGGGTTTCCCTCTTGTCCTAAGGATGTTCATCGAGACATGCGTGCTCAAGCAATCTACTGGAGGTGCTCCTTGGACCCTGCTTACCGGTTCATTCCAAGATTGGACTCATCCAAATCCAGGCAAAACAGGTCCAGGCCAAGTACATCTGGGTTTTCCAGTTGTCTTGTGAGAATCATTGTGAGACAGCGAATATTTTCTCAGGTTTCCATTGACAGCCGTGACAGCCGTGTTCAACATGTCAATCATGGTGGACAATGGAAGCCCTAACTCTTGCAGGCTCGACGATTTCCAAGCCAAGTTCTATTCTACTAGCAGGCTGCAGGGGGGCAATAGTTGCATTCCTTTCAAGGAGTGTGTATGCTCAAGTTCAAAGAGATCTGAAATGATCTGAATCAAAGCAGGATGAAGTGGCTAAGGCACATGATGATGGGCATCAGCTCTGTTTCAACCAAAACATACTATATATCTTTCAATGAAACTTTAGTCCAAGACCACCGTGCTCAACTTCTAAGAACCATCCAAACTGGGTGGTGGCTAGCGGCTAGTGGGCTTTCTGTGCTCTGCTTTATTGAGGCGAAGGACTCGAACGATTTTGCTCACCCCATGCCCCACCGCGCACCGATGGGTGGTAGCTTCTCCGGCAGCTTCTTCGTCGGCCCGGGCCTGGGGCGACATCCCCTTCGACACAGAACACAAGACAAGCAGTGGATCTGTGCATCCGAATGTTACCACCATATAAGGAACCAGGCTTCTATAAGTCTGTGGCCTGGTTTGAGTCGAACTGGAACCACTGGATACCAGCTACAACTGCATCCACTGGGAAGTGGACACTCGGTTTTTACCACCTCCCACCTCCCGCGTTGGGTGAAGACTCTGGACTAACCGCATTGAAAACCTCCCGAACGTCCCTTCTACTGGAGAACAGCACGGAATGAAGCACGTCGGGGGAGGAGCATAGCGCAGGTATACCACATATCGGGCGCACGCAGTGCTTTCAAGTTGATCAATTCAGGTACCTCGACTCGTCCAGACCGCAGGTCTCAGACGCCCAAGACCGCCCCGACGGACGTCGTGCGATCCGTCACAGCGTTCGGCGGGGTCCCACCAGCGACTCCGTGTCGTCTGAAGTTTGGGGGGTTCAAACAAGCCTTCCTTCTGAGGTCTCCCCGTCCGAAGAAGGGGGTAGTTGGCAGGAGGCCAAACCTAGTGCCGGCCTGAGAGAGGAAGTGCTTGGTCACAAGCTGAGTATAGCCCAATCAAAGCATTCTGTGCACCACCTGTGGGCAGTCGATTTCTTCCACCTGGTGGGGTAAAGCGATGATGTCGCTGCACGATTGGTCACAAGCCGATGCTGTGGAGCATTCGAGGACCAGAGCAAGCCATCGATGAAGAGAGCAGTGAACACGAAACATATGAAGAAGCTGACGGATCAGCGGCTGCTGGCGGATTGGCCTAATTATGCAATGGCTACACCGTTCCTACATGGGGCCACCTCACTTTTGCCTGTAGTCTTGGGCTGCCGGAGCACTTGGCATTGCTATCTTTTTCTGGCTTCCAGCATGTTGATCTTTCTGAACTGTTCAACCGCGCTTCTACGGTTTTACACAAACTACATCGGGAACAAGCTTTCTGCAAGACCGCCTCTTTAATTTAACGTATCATAGGACTCACCGCTTTTCCAACAAGGGCTGGTTTGCAGGCAACAGTATATAGCTTCCATTCAGATTCTCCGCAGTGCCTGCTGTGCGTCAGCGAAAACACCCCAAGTCGTGACTCGCCGTCGTGACTCGCAGTCCGACACTCTGTCCGCTGGTGTTCAAGACGATGACAAACATGGATGTCCGGCCTTTTTTGGCAGAAATCATAGTATACACCATGGCTACTATAATACATGGGTATACATACACCCTGGGAGTCAAAGACTATAAAAAGAATGGTCTTTAGGGGACCTGAAAGGGAACTTCCTTTACTTCAGCCGGTCAAAATATAGTCTTTGGACTTCTAGGGTTGCATATGATTCAATGATCAAACATGATGAAACCACCACCCAGCAAAGAATATTGTATTGATCGCATATTGCCATCATGATGGCATGGAGCTGGTTGATTTCCGGTGTCCAATGTGTGTCAACTACGTCCCAAACAGGTCGCGCAGGTGTCGGGCGCGTGCGCCGTGCCGTGGACCGGTCCCCTCGGCCAAGGAGCAACGGAGGACGCGGACTCCGTGCCAACGGCGGCAGGTGCGGCCCGGCGAAAGGCTCCCCTGACCGGGCTGAGCGGTCGGACGGTCCGCTGCCCGTGTGGCGAATGCGTAACAGAGTAAGGTCCCTGAATGTCCCTGATTGATAGAAGTCATACGTCCACGACCAAGGTTTGGCCATAAAGGGTAAGTGTATACAAGCAACTTGTCAGATTCTTTGAACACCTATTGAACAGGTCCATCTAAGAGGGTAGTTTGTCTTTAGGATTCTTTAGGTCTCAAATGCTCGACCGTCTGAGACGACCATCACTCGCCCCGCCGAAAGCCCCACCAGACCGGCGGAACCGGAGAAAGACACGGTGCCTTCATCCGCACGCTTGGAGATCCAAGTTGAGGCTGGATCGGTCTCCTGGGCGATTGGAGCTGGTCACCCAAACACTCCCACCGACGGGAAGATATGGCCTGGGCCTATGCCACTAGCTATAGGGGACCCACGAGACATTTGATCCACAAAACCCACAGGGACCGGTAATTTATCATGAGTGCATGGGCCATAGATATTCCCTACGGCTCCAGTCGTACGCATTTCGTTTCGTGGCGTGGTCGGGTCAGGTCCCCCGTCCTCGGAGCCTTCCCGACCGTCTCCACCGACCAGATCGCTCACACCACCGACCACCCGCCGAATGCGCCGGCCGGAGGATGGATACGATGGATGCGGTGTGTTGGTCGTTCATGGGTGCGCAAAGAGCAGTTGAGCCATGACCGTTTTTGTCCAACTCGCAAGGAGCTTCGGTTTGTGGCACCCGCAAAAGACGAGGAAGGCCAGACTTTCAATCGTGGGGAAATCCTGACCTTCAAAGATTTGGACGGCACACCAACAATCCATGGTGGCTGCACTCTGGGCGATCCACGCTCCAAGAGATTCAATCCAAACCTCAGAATGATGGTTGCAACCTGAGCCAGTGCATGTCGATCATTGAACAGGAATGGACTGGAGTCCTCCTAAGACTGTGGATTCAACCTAAGACTGCTATCATTTTGTATCATATCCATATCCATATCCTCTGCCCCTGGCTCAAATTAAACCGTGCCAAACCGCTCGTTCTCTGAACAAAACGATCAGTAGTGCCGTCCGTCAGAAACGAGACGCGGTCGGAAGCGGTTGGGTCGCTTGTGAAGCAACCAACCCAGATCTGGGAATCCTGTACATCCAAATAAACACATCAGACGCAGTCGGAAGCTGCTGTCAGATTGCTCTACTATTCTCATGGATTGAGTCCTGCGAAAAATTCTAAAAAAAAGGAGGAAGCACACAAAAAGAGCAAATCTCAGTCAACTCCTGAGCGCAGGGATGATAGATGAGCAAGCTGTAATATATAGTTCGATATGTCTGTTCAATTGACTAGCTCCCTGCTAGCTCCCGAGATTCCTGGATCCACTTGGCGCAGGGCAGGCTCGAACTAAAATGTTGCCTGGACACAAAAAGACAATGCTTAGCTGCCACTTGTGCCAACTGGCTGGGCCCATCGCATCCCGATGGACAAAGAGTCAAAATTGCCATCATGATCCTTCATGGAAGGGCACTTAAATAGTGAATGTGCTTTACTTCAAATCGCGAGTGCATCTGGACATCGGCACACTTGGACATCGGCATGTGTGCTCCATCGCGCGGCACTCGTGGCAAAAAAGGCTTCAAATCCTCTGAAGTTCTGGTCGATGCTTTGTCTGCAGTTTCCCCATCTGGTCGTCCTGTTGTTTGACAGCTGCGAGCCTGCGTTGCCACAAACTGGAAGATCTTAGTACCAGTCCAGCAGCGTTTGCCTTCTCCACTCTCTGTGTGTCCGTGGCTTTGGCTGCATTTCCCATCCATCGGAGACCCTCCAAAGCCTTCATCGAACCAGTTTCCAGCTCAGGGAAATAAGTGATGACCTGAAGCTCAAACTCTGGGGCGAAGAGAGCCCAAACCACCCCAATGTAGGCATATATGGCATACATGGAGCGTCTGGGGTATAGTTCAATGAGGAACGACTTATTAGAGAGCACACTGTATATCATATCCCATTCCCAGTGACAGCCAATGATGATGGTCAGTAAAGGCCTTTCTCACACATAGATTAATCCGTGGTGCTGGTATATATATATATATACACCCTAGGGCTCCAACTACCTCCTGAGAAGGTGGTTAGGGTGGGTTTGGGGGTCTAACCACCTGCTTGCCCAAGGTTGGAGGTGTGACACATACTCAAAACCATCTTTGAACCGACCTGCCAGGAAAACCTGCAAGGACCCGGATGGATGTGAGCTTTTTGGACGATCCAAAATCCGAAGCACCTGCTTGAAGCTTGAAGTTTCTGCCCATCTATCTCATAAAAACAATGACCCAAAGAAATCACCCAAATCACCTGTTGTATCCCACAAAGTGCTGAATGCTTGCCATGAAGTGCTGGGTCACCATCTATTAAACAAAATATCTAAAAATAACACATGGGTCCCAGAAAAGAACTATACCCAAACGATCCATGGTGGCGCAAATATCGCCTACCGATCACTTTTGGTGATTTGGGGTGAATGTAGGTCCTTACACACCTCTTGGCAGGTCCTGGTATATGGATCCTCTGGGATAGATACACACTCCCAGAAGGAAAATGGCCCCTTGAACCCTTGGGTGGCCGGTGGCGAACACTTTCATCCAGGTACAAAAAAATGCGACACGAGTTGTGAGTGTATCTCTATCAGGTCTGTATAACCAAACCGTCCATGCCCAAGCCACTTCAACTTCCATGCAAATGCTCACCTTCTTCATCTTTCTGAGCGCCATGAACAGCTGATTTTCGCCTCCCCTGCCGTCTCGTCGAGACGATCACGATCGATCACGGCCCGACGCCAGTGCCGCTCCCGTTGCAGAGCGTTCACGTGAGCCACTCTGCTGCGGAGAAGCACCGGGAAGTTGGCCAGTTGGGCAAACATCGCGGCCAAAACCAAATCCCACATCTATATCAAGCATATCTTAGCTAGATGTTTGGGTCTCTGGGTGGTACATCAAAGATTCATGAAACACTATAGCAGGAAAAAGAGTAGAGCCTTCAAATCTCCCAAGCAATGGATTCGAGTCACCCGTGACCACACTGTACCAACATGAACCCTCTCTTTCTCAAATGATCATGTGGCACCAATGACCACCACTAGTCAATGATGGCCATCACACAATGGTCCTGTGCCCAAAGGGTTTGTGTACATGTATTTTAGTAGTACATCCCGAAGATGGTCGAACTACAGCCAGTTCCTACATACGGAATCAAATAGGGTGTGTTTTTTGTGTTCCTTCACCTGGACGAAGAACACGGACTCACCAGTTCATTCAAGAACATCCAAATAACCCCCAAAACCGCGCCACGAATGGTCCAAGAACATCCACAGCACCCGAAAGTCTCAACTTCGCCTCGCCATAGGCAATCTCTGTAGGCTCGCCTGGATGGCCAGGATGGAGAAAATGGGTGACCAGGGTGGTGGAGGCGTGACCAGTTGACTAGCTTCTGTGGAAAATAGAAGTAAACCGAACTTCCACCTATTAAGTGGAGAAACCATTTCAAACCAAAAAACTAAAGGGACGTTAAGATGTTATCCACTGACAGCGGAGTTTCTCAGCGTCTCTCCTGTTAAGCCTCACATCAAAATAAGCACCGAGACCATGATCCAACAGATTCCAAAAGAAGTGGACTGGTTGCACCTGAGGTTCAACTCCAGTGTGGCGGTGTTACACCTTGACCTTTCTCTGAATCGGCATGGTTGGCACAAAAAGAGAACATCCTTCGGAACAACATCACCGGACGATGGCAGGTTTGGGACGGATGACGATTTCTCCGTTCCGAGAAACGGATGATTCCAAACGTCTTCCAAACGACGAACGGATCGCCTGTCTTGGAGCCACGGGGATAAAGCCGGGACAATGGTCATCAATGACCCGTTTGGGCTCCAGTCGTACCTCCTTAGAAGGTATGACCGGACCCTCCTGGCACCCACCCCAGTCCCACCTTCGAAACGAAGGTACAACTGGAGCCCTAGGGTGAATCTTTCGTGGTTAACCAACATCATCCACAGGGGATTCACCCGGGAAAATAACACATCATCCAATAAGCAAAGTGCGCTTTTTGCCTTTCTCGCTCATATTATACTACTCTTGGAGGATTTGGTTTCGAGCTCGAGTTTTTGTTGCTGGCAAACACCTCGCCCTGTGTGTTGCGGCTCACATGCGTTCACAATCAATCCGAATTGGACACCATGGGATTTCAATATCCACGCAGTTCTTCGATGTTTTCACTGACCCCACCAAGGATCCGGACCCGCACCAAACCCTTCACCTTTGAGGGTGCATGATTCTTAGCTTGGCTTAGTGGCTTGCCAAAGCCCGCACTTTTTGAATGCACGCGCTTCCTTCACCAGACCTTCATCAGGTCGAACCCGTTGAAAAAGAAGAGGACGGGATCGGAGGAGGAGCGGCCACGGATCGGATGAGGGGCCAACGACCCTTCCGCCATGGCTTTTGCTGTCGGTCATCTCTATACCTACCTGGACCATGCAGAACGACCGGGTTGATGCCTGCACAAACCCGTGGGTCCTGTGGGGCGAAGCCGAGGCCGAAAGCGTCGAACCGCCGTCCTGCGCCGTTCTCGCAGCCGTCGCAGCTTTCGGGGCAGTTCCTGTGGCCGCCTTGGCGGAGGATCGGAGGCGAGCGTGCACCGCGCGGATCGCGGGTCTCCCCCGCGGGTCTCGACCCCCGAGTGCGACGTGCCATGGCAAGTGCCATGGCAAGGGCACTCTTCAGATATCTTCTTCGGATGTATTTGGAGTTGACCAACGACCTGCACACAGTGCTGAAATCGGTGATGGGACTGGGACTGGCTCCAGAGTCCAAACCCTGAACCCTACTTCCTCCACCAGGCATGGGACTCGCTGCGGACACGGTGGGACACAGCGATGAGAAGCTGCCGATGAGTAGATCCCATCACCATCGATTAAGTCAACTGCACTCACACCCAAAATGGGAAAACTAGCCAAACTAGCTTAAAATGACCTTTAGACCCTCTCCCATCGGATACCAAGGTCGCGGCCGTTGAAGGCAGCCACCAGCGCCAGTTTCGGGCGCTCGGGAGCTCCTAGTAGGGAGGTGGGTCACGAACATGCTTCAGAATCAGCTATAGGGCTCCAAGTACCTTCTAAGCTAAGATGTTTGGGGTGGGTTTAGAGGTCCAAATACCTTCTGAGGATATGGTTGGAGCCCTAACTTGGGGGGCATGAGGATTCTTAGGGAGGGTCCATTTTCGGGGGTGATGACTGGTTGGGACTTTCCATCGACCTCTCATGCAATCTATGGATCCACAGTGGATCAATAAGCTCAAAAGCCTGGAGTCTTTGTGATTTGAGCCAGCCTTTTTGGGGAGGGCCTTTACCTATTTTGCCTGCAACTAGTTGAACTAGCACATCCAAAACCTCCTGCTTAAGAGCTCTGCCGCAGGAGCCAGCCGTTCTCTGGGGGGTCTACTGTGTGTTTGATTTAGTCATCCAAAAGCTGCAAAATTATACCCGGCGCTTCCTGTCGGGGTGCCCTGTCTGGAGACCTGTTTACGTCGTGTGGAGATATCCAGCCAGGTGACCCCGTGTCCAGTGGCGCAGCTGGTATATGAGGAGAGTTCTGGCTTGGGACATGGAACCTTCGGAGTGATCTTCCGAACTTCGGCCAATTCGGCGTCAGTGTCCGCCCCCAACTGCGAACGCGAACGTTGCGGTCGGTTCAACACGTGTGATGTGGAATTCCAGCTTCGCAACCTGTATTGTAAGCTATGGAACTCTGGGTTGTGGAATAAATGAACTTTAGGTTCCAGCTCCAGGTCTGATTTGATTTGGACCAGTCAGCCGTCCCTTTACAGGGACACATGTCATCTAAGGAACTCAGGGTGCCAGAAGATCAGGAAATCATCCGATAGTGGATCCCGGTTAGCATATTATAAGGAACCACAAACCTTCGCTCAGTTTTGTGGATTTAGTCATTGGAACCGGATACCAGCTATAGTTGTTGCACTCCTGTTGCAAGGTCCGGTCATTCTCACGGCGGTGTCACACCTCTGGTGTCTCACCTCTGTCGAACCGCGGAGAAGAGCGGGGCACTGGATTTGGTGGTATGAGAAACTCAGCGAAAACGTCTTTTCCTTCAAGAAAAGCCGGGTCATCCTGTTGCCCACATCGATGTTCATGGTCTTTGTAACCATGTTTTCATCGGGCTTCAGCAGCAGGATTTGCTTTGACAAGTGCAACCATTAGATTTCACAAAGAAACACATATACTCCAGGAGTCAAAATGAAGTGGGCTTTAGCCTCTAAGTGAGTGGATAGTGGGCACCCCTTTCCTCCAGTCACCCCGTCTTGTGACTCCTGGCTTTAAGAAACATCAGGCTCTTTCGATTGGATCACACTTGTCCCGACAAGGACATTGTTTTTTGGACGCAAATCACAAACACCGACAAGGCTTTCTGTCACCTTCGGTCGCTTTAAAACGGCTCGCCGTCGGAGCTTTTGGCAATGATCCACCATCGGCCGTTCAGCCGTAGCATTGAGAGGAAGTCGGTGTAGAGGACAGGCGGCAAGCCTACCTGAAGCAGGAAAAACACGCTTGATTTCATGAAAAACACGACGTGAGCAGCCTGGAAAAGTAGAGGATGACTCCGGCCTCGAGATGGTTTAGGGAGATTTGCTCCCTCCTTGCTCATCCTCAAGAGTTCAAGATGCTCAATGTTACGTTTCATGTCTCATGTCTTGTTCTGACATAAACAATGTAGACTCTTGATTGTATACTCATTCCCCCTATATATACCCCAAAAAGCCGTTGCACTTGCAGATTCAGGGTCGGTACATGAGCCATACTTGGAGCGTCTGTCGCAGGTGTGCTAGTCAGCTTTCCCATCCCGGATCCCGTCCCCCTTCTTTGATCGTATTTCATGAGATTTTTGATGAGTTTTTGGCCGACTAGCAATGAAGCATCATGTACCAGGTATGGCTGATCTCATGGTATCTCAGCATCATGTGCCAGGTACTTGAGCAACAAACATTGAGATCATGTTCTTCACATCTCCGAAGGAAAATCCAAACCAGCGATCGTCTCCCCAATTCCATCGCCCAAACATTCAAACGTGGCAGCGGCCAACAGGATAGAGGTATACAAGTATACTATAAAGTAAGTATATATACATTCCCTGGGAACCATGGACATGCACCCGGCCCCCCCGAGCTCGGCTGAGCCCTTTTCGGAACACCCGTTTTACTGTTGCCGGGCACCGGGCAGCCGAGAAGCTCGGCTCGCACCCAAACGGTCAAGAAGTGTGAACGGCGGCCGCCAAGGTCCCAAAAAACCTTGAGAGTCCAAGAACTTCCAACCTGCTTTCTCCGTGAACGAACGAAAAACCAGCACCTACCAGCACCTACGGGTTCTCCTGGCTGGAATTCTTGGACACTGCTTAGTGGATCTCCATTGCACCCCCCCTTATTTGTTTCAGGTCCAGGACCCGGAATTAGTTGTCGTTGTTGTTGCAGTCCTCAATTTCACCTCTTGAGAAGAGAGAACAGTTGGAGGGTGATGATCGCCACCGTTCACGTCTTCGCGTCTCCGGCTCCGTCTTCGGCTTCCTCGCCTGGAGCTTAATAAGGGCTACATCCTCAGGGTGTGTAACGTTTCTCAGCGGATACCCTGCACCAGGGAACTCAAAGCTCAATCCATGGAGCATTCTGGCATTCCGGATGATAGCTAGTTCGCGAATGATGGTAGCTTATAGTAACAACGTAGACCCATCTGACCCCTGTTTACATCGAAAAGGTTGACACAAGCCCGAAACCAGGTCAGTAGGTCCCCAGGTCGTTCTCTGCAAGTGTGCAAAGCATTCACTTTATCGGCTCAGCCGATAGAGGCCAGCCTTGCCCATAGGCAGGGCCAAAGCTTGCAAACCACTAAACCGGTCATCATGATGTACCGAGGGAATTCTGAATGCCAGGAGCAACCAAACCCTAGAAAATAGACGACCTTTTTCCGAAAATGCGTGTTTTGGCATACAAGACACTCTGACGAAAACCTAGTTTTTCAGTGACAAACTCGGTTTCTCATGTTCAGAAACCGTATTTATCCCGTGCAAAACCCGTAATTTGCCCGTTAAACAAAATCTTTTGTGAATTGTTTTTGAGAAACCCGGCTTTAGTTGGATGTTTTTGTTTTTTTTTAGTAAGACCCTACATTTTTCTAGGTTTTGGATGGTCTTGGTCCTCAACTGTTATTTGTTTAACCGGCATGGAAACACCATATCCTAAAGTGATGTGAGAAACAAACACGGAACTCATGCAGAACAAACGATCATCTTGAGCAATCTGAGGTGAATCAATCAAATACGTGGCCAATTTGGGGATACTCTGAACAAAACAACTTAGATTTTGTTTGAACGTTTGTGTGTGTTTTCAATATTGCATGGTTTTTCCTGTTAGTGTTAATCAGTTTGATTGGGAACCCCCATACCATCGTGTCGCCCCAGTGGCGGGCCCTGCTTTGCGGACACTGAGGATCTTGTCGAAGCGCAAGGCCTGCAACAACGCTCTTTGCGGCGAGTCAATAGAGAAGGCTTTTTGCACGAACAAACAAACGCAGCACGAACAAAACGTTCGAGTTCGCCGATTTTAAAATATGGGAACGACCTACGTTGACCTGGTTTTCCAGTCTAAAATCCTTAAAGTAAAACAATGGTGTTCAGTGAGAAGCATTAAATCAATGGCGGTTGGAATAGAGACAAACAAACACACAAAACACCAAAAATAACACATGGTCCTTTTCTCCGCAACAACTGGTGGGACTGAGGGATCATGCTTAAAGGATTGGACTTGATCACTTGGAGGTTTGCAGAATTTGCCCAGGAAAGCCTTGTTCCTTTGCTCAGGAAGGTCATCTACGCTAATGAAAATGGAACCTGGGGGATGAACCTGTTCCGAGGTTCACTGTTGAAGCGCTTTACAAACTAGCCGAGTTGATGGATGCCGGATGTTCCAAGTCGCTTTCTTCGTGGGAGTTTCCGCTTTGAGCGTCCGTTCACTTGTCTTTTCACTCGGATTTCATTTACACTGATGCGACCCGAGGTTTCACAAAACGAATCAGGGGCCGCTCTACTCATGACTCATGAGCAAGGGGCGGCCTTGTGGGTGCGTTGCGTGCATCCAAATCAGGGCACTCATTAGTCCTGGCTAAGTCCCACAATAATAATGCGAATGCTTACAGGTTCATTAAGGGAAAGGAGCAAAGGTTTCTGAACGACGAGATTACAGCCCAGGCCACTCTGTGCCGAGCATTTCGTAACCAACCGAAAATCCGCCTATCAGAACCTGCAGATATTCCGCAAGGGGCTTGCATTGAATTTGGTAATTGTACAGCCACAGTTAGCCAAGTTGCAGATAAGACCTTAACGCTCGCAGATGTGTCGGGATGCCTGCCTGGTGCGGGTATCGTAAGGTATAAGTCCCATGCATACACCATGCCAACCATGTCTCGGGAATTTCAGGCCTATTGGTCTCAATTTTGGATGCGAGACTCGTATGAGTCCCGACATTCGGATGTTGAGTGGCAACCCCTTATTGATGATCTAGAGGAAACGATTCCAGCACAACCAATGTTAACAGTAGTGTTTGACAATCCAAAATTCCTAAAGGAGTCTATCAGACGATTAAAATCTCACAAAGCTGTCGGAGTAGACGGCTGGCACGCTGAAGAGCTGCAATGTTTAACAGATACAATGCTACAAGACTTTACCACCTTGCTCACGCGAGTATGGCACATAGGCCTTAGTACACAGCTGATGAGGGCGCGTACATTACTTTTTGCAAAAAGAGACCACCCAACATCAATTTCAGACGGTAGACCCATAACAATACTAGGCTATATGGTGCGTATCACTTCGAAGCTAATTTCTGACCAAATTCTAGCTCAGTGGGCTGCACACTGGCCACCGGTGATAAGTGGGGGTCTACCGCGTCGCTCGGCCCGAGACCTATGCATACTACAACAATTGCAAATTGAGCATGCAAAGACTAGTCATACTACAGCATGGGGAGGGTGGACTATGGATCTTGTGAAAGCATTAAACCTTATACCACGCCGAATCATCAGACACATTCTTGAACTATTAGGAGTGCCCTCATATATTACCAACTTTTGGTTCCTGTCCTTGGCAAGACTGACTCGTGTACTGCAGAGCGGAAGGAATCTTAGTGACCCATATTCATCGACAACTGGTTTGCCCGAAGGTGACAGTATGTCCGTGGTTGGTATGCTGGCCTTGAGCTTTGTGTTCCATGCCAAGTTGCAATCCCCTAGAGTCTTCCCCTATGCATATGCAGATAACTGGTCATTCATGTCAACGTCAGAACGACACTGCTTCCAAGCCATGACTACATTGTTCAATCTTGTCTCTGATCTTAAGATGCAAATCGACTTCAGGAAGTCGTGGTGTTGGGCAACAACTAAACAGTTCCGCACCTTTTGGGAAAGTGCATCGGCCCTACTACTGGATCCCACGTTCCAGTTCGTCATTAAGAGTCATGTTCATGACCTGGGATGTACTATATCATACACAAATGCAGTGGTACTCGGACCACATCGTGATAAAATTGATAACGCCATTGCCAAGTGTAACCGCCTCAGGAAATTGCAACTTTCCCTTGAAGAACGGGCAGAGAAAATACAAACGGCTATCTGGCCGGCGGTCTTCTATGGAGCCCTTGGGCTTACCATCGGAGATAAACACTTCACGACATTACGGCGAGCAGCCACGAATGTGTTAGTCGGTGACCACAAATACGCCTCCAGTATGATAGCTTTACACTACCTGACAGAACGAGTCCAGGACCCGTTGCTGTATATAGTTACTGATATGCTTACAACGCTCCGCCGCCTATATGTATACTATCCAGACGCTGCACAAAGTATACTCCACACACTCCGAACGTTCGACGGTAAAGTTCGCGGACCAGCCAGTGCCTTGGCCTCTTACTTGAATAAGTTAGGCTGGGAAGTTTCAAGTAATGCAACCCTCCTGGGTCCAGGTGGCCTGCGAGTCAGTCTGTCAGGATCCTCGTCCAAGCAGATTAAGGCTCAAGTTCGCATAGCATGGGACTGGCATTGCCATAAAGAGGTCTATCACCGCAAGGGAGTTCCACAAAATCCCTTTGACTCCCTTACCACCATTCGCTTGATGCAGACATTGACCGACAGACAAAGAAGAATTTTGGCGCTAAGTCTCACGTCCGGATGGCAATCGTTAGGCGCAATAGCAAATTGGTCTGCCACACAAGACCCACATTGCCCGTGGTGTGGCCAATTTGATACGCATACGCACCAACTGTTAGATTGTCCAGAATTTGCAACCACACGAGCCGAGCATGCAGAAGCCATAACATACATTTCGAACAACCACTATGCCTGCTGGTTCCCACTGCCATACCACCACCAAAACACAGAACTAGTCCGGCAGGCCATGCACCTCCGAGACCAAACATGTACCATTCACACGCCCCATCACATCCCCAACCATACGGTGGTGTACAGAGACGGCACCTGTGATAATCCTCGGGACCCATATGCCGCACGTGCGGCCTGGGCAGCCATCATTAGGACACCAACTGATCCTACTCATGAAACAGAGACCATCAACTGGAACTTTCAGGTGCTTGCGGCAGGGCATTGCCCTGGCCACCAGACAATTGGTCGTGCTGAATTGTACGCCATGGTGGTGGCTGTAGAGCTTATATCCACCGACGATTCCGCAAGCAACATACAATTTGTCACCGATTCCCAATATGTTGTCAATTGCATAAATCAAATTGAAGATGAAACAATCTTTACAAGCCCACACAAAAAAGCACACTGGGACTTAATCCGAAGATTAATCTTGACCTGGCAACCGGCTAAATTTACCGTTGTCAAAATTAAATCACATCAAGACATTGCACAAGCTCAAACCGACACACAGGCATGGCATATTCGGGGAAATGCCTTTGCAGATCAGACAGCCATGCAAATTCGTCGAATTGATGATACGGATTTTGCCAATATTTGTACAACGGTCCAGCAACACTTACAACATCAACAAAGAATACTCAGACAGGTCTACATGTATATGATTGACCTTGCGCATGCAAGGATGTCTAAGATAGAGTTGACCAAGCAGAAAAAGACTCTACATGAACCACTCGGGCCCCTGTCCGGTGAGGCTGTCGACGTTTTTCAAAAACAGATCCATAAGTTACAGCACTGGCAAGTGCGTGAAACAGCCTACACTATGCCCGCAATCCCGCATAGAGTAGTATTTTGGTGTAGTACATGGGGTACAAATCTGACATACTTAGTGTGGCAGTTTTGCTCTCAGTTGCGATGGCCTGATCCTACCACACCACGCCAACCAGCTGACCCGGGCATCTCTTGGGTCGAGTTAGTAATATCTTTCATGATTTGGTCAAACCGTAAGATGCCCATCCGTATCAAGGAAGATAAAGGCTATAAATACTTGGCTTATGATGACCCCCAGGTTCAATTATTGCCAGTGAAGGCCAAATCCCTTCGCATCCTAGCCGAGAACTTTCGATGGGTGGTCAAACACATTCAGACATTCTCAAGATCAAAGATTATACCAACGTACACAAAACAAGGAACATCTAGCCTGACCCGATTAGGCTTCACTAAATGATCATGAAGGTGGCATTTCACGACGGCCCCAGTTGCCCAACGCGGTTGAAACATATAGTACACTCCATGCCATGTTGAAGACCATGCCTCACGACCCGCCATTTAACACAGATGTGCTACTGCCGTCACTGCCACAAAATTTGTCCCCACCACCCTGGCCCCAGTGGCCAGAAGTTGAACGGACCAAAGCAGACGCGTTTTTGCAGCATGTCCGCTATGCATTATGTCGTAAAAAAGATTTTGATACCATTGCCCATCCGAGCGGGCACTGAATTAGTTCTCTGAATTTGTGTGACTAGAATTCAAAAAGGTTTGAACCTTGGACTCGAGATCGTTAGACTTGATTGCTGTTCGGTTTGCTTCGATGCCACATAGCCTTTCGTCGTAGTTGCCTTCGTGTACATATTCTGTCTAGGATCTGCTTTCTCATTGTTCAAGGTCTCACAACACTCTACCCACACCCGCTACAACAGCAAGGGGTGGTGTAGAAGCGAGAAGACTTCGCAAGTGAGTGCATCCAAATCAGGGGGGTTTATTACTCAAGATTCTACAGTACCTTAAACGAGGGCCGTGCCTCTTCTTCAGCAGGGCCGTGCCTCTCTCAGCTCGGCGCTATTGACATGTTCCGCTCCTTCTCCACGCCGCGCCTGGGGATCGTCCAAGGACTTGGCCCGTGCCTGCAACACCTCGAAGAACTCGGCCCGGGACCTCAAAGACGGCGCAGGGTTGTGTGCGTTTTTGTACCTTTTGCGGCAAAGCCTGCAGATATTTCGAGCTCTCTGCCTTCCTTCGACTTTGCTTTAAAATAGATGGATCCTCGAGGGCGCTTTTTCCAGCCACATCTCCCACATTCTCAGTACTCTTATAGATATCATATGCATCCAATACGGAAACCTGGAAACCATTGGAAACCGCTGCCTGTTCCGCGGCCCCAAATTAAGTACAATCCTATCGACATTTGGTGTAATTAATTAGGAGTGTTGATCCTCACAGAGCCAACGTCGCAACACCGAAACCGCCACCGACACCAGCTCCAACCGCCACACCGAGCGGCCAACGGACCAGTTCCTCTTGCTGGTCCGAAAAGCAAAGCCGTGCAGCTCCGTGGAAGCTCTCAGAAACCAAGGACGGAGAGGACTGGTGTACCCCTCGCATGTAGGACAAGATGCCACGTACTGGGTCCTGGGAATGGCGTGTACTGGTTGATCTGGCTGGTGGATACCACCAGGTGGATGATGGTGGTAAAACCAGGTACCTTTAACATCCTTTAACAACTTCATACTCAACTTCATGCAACTTCGGTGCAGTAACTGGTGCAGTATGGTCTGAGAATCTTGAGATTGACTTCTGAACTTTGAGGCCAGGAAGAGCATGTTAGCATACGTAAGCTCACCCCTGAATGCCTTCTTCGCTGATGAGGTGACCTTTGCTTTCTTGGAAAGACTCCGAACATGAGGTGTGTTGCCAAGCATGTTCAGGCCGTCTATGGCCCGTCTATGACCCCAAAAAAGGCCGTCTCAGGCCGCAGGCCGTCTATGGCCCGGCAAGTGGTACACGTCTGCCACCTACTGCCAGCCTCGTTGAACAGGCACAGTGTTTTTGGTCGGTTAAAGCAAGAATTAGTCACCAAATCCTGAATAGATAGAGTATGGAGCAAACTGTATCAGGTGTGAAGATACTAGCTGTATACTAGCATTAGAATAATCATATGTCATATATAAACAATTTTCAAATGAAAAGGATATCATGACCACGGTGTTCGTCTTATCCGAGGTTCACTCACTGCATAGGCCAGCGCATCATAGGGCTCTTGGTAGGACTGCTCTGACAAAGGCACAGAAGAGAAGACCTTGCTGATGATCTGCCACTTCTTGTTGAGGCCTAGGTTCTATCAAAGATGTGGATCAACCAAGTCGTGCACGCTACGCTACACCTCTACACACAAATCAGTTGCTAAGCATTCATTGCCAGTCCATAGCAAAAAAGCGCCTGTGGTGTTTACATGACTTTGTCTGCTTGAGGGTGCAGCTGTTCTGAAAAACCGTAGCACCTTCAACTCGGAAGCCTTCGATTGATTAAGGCATGAGTGAATCACCAAAAAGGAAAGCCATTCGCCCAATCGGGAGCCTCTCCACGATTTAAGGAAAAATCCCAAGACGTTTCTTTCTGCAAGTTTGCCCCAAGAAGTCCAAGCAGCGCAACAAGACCAAGAAGTCTGTGAAGAGCAGCGCTCCGCTTGCAGGGTCGCTCTGCTTCAGCGCGAGCTGCACCTGGGCAGCGCAGCAGCGACTGGAGGCGAAGTCTAAGGAGAGAATCTGGTCGTAGGCACTGAGATCCTCCTCAGGCAGCGGAGAGTGGAAAATGGCAGATCTTTTGAGCCTTGTGCGAGCTCCGAGCTTGAAATGGACCAAAGACTCTGATGCTGAAAAATCTGAAAAGCCCTGAAACACGCGACTGTATGGTGTTCGATGGATGGTGAGCCGAGCCTTGAAGAAGCTTGGTGGACGGTCACAACCGGTGAAACTGACCATACCAAACTTACCCACTGACCATGCCATACCAGGTCACAATAGATTCGCGGATCGGCCGATCAGTCCTTGTCCTCGTATCTTTGAGACTCTTACAGGCTGTTCACATGGCTTCATGGATGGCACCCCCTATATTTCGTAAAGCAAAGTAGTTCGTCAAGGGACCAAAGGGACCATGCCATCCGGACCAGATGTGGTGTTCGTGAGAGTGGACCAGGTGGATGGTTAGCTTCCTCAGCTTCGGTGGATGGAGCAACAACTTGCTGGGCGAGGCTGGTCCGCAAGGACTGTCAGGATGGGAGATGGACAGGACTGTCTGTCAAAACACACACGTCCAGGTCCGGGAGGAGAAACCCAAAGCCGAACGAGTGAGGTGTGGCTTGGATTTGTTTGATGAACCGGTGAAAACAATGAACATGTGGAGTGAATCCACGGAAAAACAAAAAAAAATAGTATTCTTTCACCCAAAGCAGAACGAGGATGAAGGGGATTGATCTGGTCTCCTGCCTGAACCACAGCTGAGAAAAGGGATGGGGATGGATGAGGACTCCCTCCAAACAGCCTGTCTGAGGACATGGCTAGACATGATTTGATGGTATTTGTGTGAATTCCCCAATAGAGTAGATGGGAATGGGTCAAAACATGTCCAAACCTGGAGCGCGAGCTTGACCGTCCACGAGCTTGACCGAAACCGCTTGACCGAAACCGGTCCACAACGGTCGGTCTCCTGGCTTTGACCCACAGGACCCAATGGTTTGCCGATGGTTTGGTCTCGCTAGTCCAAAACCTTGGGATTGCATACACCTGGACCAAGCACATACGGTATCTGCGTTAGTTGGTCCCACCTGCACCACACCTGGTTCCTGTCAAGCCAGGCTGGGACCTGGCAGTGATCTTTCTTGGACCAAGTATACTTCTCCTCTACTCCCACGAAAACACCCAGTTTCCAAGAACACTTGTCCTTTACAATTTTACACCATCAAACACACCAGCAATTGTCCACATCCAACCTCCTGGATCGCCCCCATGGTCCAGAATCGTCCAAACGTGCGTTTCATCCACGCAGCCGAGTTGGTGCTGGAGCGCATGTACTCAAAGAACTGCTCCGCACTCCGGTCTGCGACGCCGCCCTCCCGGGCGGCGTCGGCCCAGTAGAGGCGGGCTTCGGGGTGCCAAACCTCCTTCATGCCTGAGAGCTCCGAGCTCCAAGGATTGGATGGAGTTGGAGGTTGTTTCGAATTTGAATGGGACCTCCCAACAAATGGATGTAGTTAGTGTATTTGGGGGAGGGATTTGGGTGTTTCTATCGTATCAACATAAGGAACAGAACGGCCATGAACGACCCCCCAACGGCCTGAGGAACCAAGGCCAAAAGGAGAATGGCGTTCCGGTTGTCAGTTGGGAGCAGTCCTAGGAAATTCCATGTGAACAAGTCGGACATTCCGGTCGCCATCCAAGAAGAAGGTCGCATCAACCGTCTCGTATCATTTCTATAAGAACAGCAAGTCTAAAAAGATTCATCCCCCGCGGCTCCAGTCGTACCTCCTTAGAAGGTATTTGGACCCTCTAAACCCACCCCAAACACCTTCTAAGACCATCTTAAGTTGATGGTTTTGGGGTTCTCTCATCCGCACTCCGGGTCCGCCCAGCTGAGCTCGGACATCGAGGGACGTTCCACGTCTCCCCGGTGAAGGCCATCAAAGTAAGCCTCGAGAGCCTCAGAATGCATGCCCCGGAAGACAGGAAGGACATGAACCACACAAGGTCCCAAACATATTGGCAAATGGGTGTGATTGGGTGTGTACGAATGTGAGACACCCAACCAATGATTTTAGACTGGGATTGGCATATTTACATTGAGCCGCTGAAGCCAACCACCACAAGCGCCTGATCAGTAAAATCGTGTAAAATACCTGGACCATCAAAGGGGTGCCCAATGGAAGCCTATATATATATATATAGTAGGTAGTGCGGGGTAGTCCAGCCAGGACACCCCTTGGATGGTCCTGGTATGTTAAATTATGTAATATATGTTAGTCCCATGGAGCGTTTGACGGGAGATGCTCCCCTCCCCTTGTGAACGTCCAACCGAGACGTCCGAGACCGCGAGGAAGCGTAGAAAATATGTGACCTGGGTCCGAGTACCAGCAGTTCCGGGTCCGAGTACGTCCTCTCGTGTCCCTGGCTTGAAGCTTTTCTGATCTCTGAAGCATGTTGTTTTTGCGACCTGCCAAACAAAAGGGACGCGGCGTGTGGTCCAAGTTCGTCGAGTTTCAAGTTGGTTGAGCCGGCATCGCAACGGCAAACAATGCCGAAGGGTTTCCCTCCACCCTTTTCAGCTGCATGTCGAAGAAATTGCCATCGGCAACACCAGCAGCAGCAGCAGCAGCACATAATACAAATACAACAAATAAATATACATACACATACAAATAATGTAGCAGCAAACGTTGTTAAAGAGACTATGACTATACAAAGTCTGGAGCAAGTTTGTGTTACAAGAAACCTATACCTCCGACGCCACACACATACCAGCAGAGGTTGAAGAACCCTATAAACTATCCCATAGGTATCCCAGTAAATTCCTATCAGGTCACGAAACCTCTCTTGGTACACAGACCTTATCCAAATGGCAGTCGGAGTGTGTCTAAGCTCAGCCAGGCAGCGTGCGCCACCTCCGAACAACGCGCTGCAGCCATGAGATTCGCGAGTTGCCAGTGTTGCGCAACCAGCCACCACGATTGGGGAGCGGTGCGTTTGAGGCTGGGGCGGCCAAAACAGGAATGGTTGGAGATTAAAAGGGGCTCCACATACCTTCTGCGAAGGCCTTGGGGGTTGTTTCAGGTCGGGTTTGCAGGGTTCTAGCTAGGACCTTCTGAGGACCTCCAAACAGATGGTGCTTCTACGCTGTCGACATCGAGATGATCTCCGGTAGTTAGCCGACTCATCTTCGATGAATGGGATGAGATGTCACTATGTCAAAGGTGGCACCTCACACCTGAAGAATGGCTCCAGGTTTTGACCCATTCACATATTATTACAAACCAACATGAACTGATCTGTCGATCTTGACTCCACCTCTATTTGGCTTGGGGGCGGGCGAGCAGAAATGAGCCGTTTTCTTTGTCCTTCCAGTCATAGACTATTGCGGTTCGGTAGACATCCCGTAAAAATTCGCTTCACTTGACTACACACCGTAGGCCCCCTACCACCGGGTTCTAAAATAGCAAGAGGTTCCAACTGGAAGAGGTTCTGCCCCAACTGGACCCGGAAGTTCCATCAGATTCCACCCGGTTCCATCCGCAGCTGCGCTTGACCCCGCTCCGGAGGGCTCGTCCGAGGCCGACGTGCTCACGGCCTCCAGACCGAGGCCGATGGCAATGCTGCCACGGTCGCACCGGGGTCTCTGGTTGGTGTGAGTAGGTGTCCAGGAGACCTCAAACGGATTCCTGGCAGGTGTGCAGCGACTTTCTTCTGACTCAAGACATCTGGAGATGAAGCATCTCAGGTTGATTGGGCCCGAGGTGAAGTTTGGATCCTTCATGAATGTCCCTCCAAATCTGCTGGGAGAGCAACACAGTCTGGACACTTGGCTATTATACCTGGGTTTCACTGGGATATCCCATGCCCAACGCTGAAGAAGGACTATCCCATGCGCCCAACGACCCAACGCAGCTCTCAAAAGACCTCGGGACAAGCTGGGCAGGGCGAAACAACACTGCAGCGACTTTCATGTGCTTGGATCTAGAGAGAGCCCAAACACTCCCTGTAATGACTACATTGACCCCTTTTCAACCACCCCAACTGATAGGCAAATATGCAAGTCCCATGGAGTGTTAAGGGAGGGAACGGTGTACATGTCATTTGCATGGCTTTCTAACATTTAACAAGACTGCTGATACCAATATTTAAAACCATCACCCGGTCCGCAGCAGCCTAACGGTGAACTCGAAGAACCACAAAATCGACCGTTGTGTAACCTCATCCAGGCCACCACTAGTTATTATATAAATATAGATAATTTCAAACAGTTCTCCTACACGATGCAACATCCTCCTGCACATGGGTATGAAAAAACACACAACAAATCCAGTAGCTGCTTCTGATCTGGTCTTGTGAGTCATTTCGCATTGTCCAACACAAACACTCTATGTGTTCATGGGCGGCCTATATGACTGGTGGCTTTTGGGCAATTCATGTAGGCCATGTTTGCAACCATCGAGTCTGGCCCACCCCAGCCAACCGCCTCGAGCTCAGCGGCCTGAAAAGAGAAAGCAACGCAAAAGCCGACAGGAACATGGATGGTCCCAAAACACTCGAAACAGCTGCAAAACTCCAAAGGCCAATCCGATGTATATATGCAAACTTGCTGCGAGGTGAGGTGGCAACAAAAACAAAAAAAACTTGGAAACAATCATTGAACAAACCGTACAAACCACTGTTTGGGTCACAGCAAAAGTCTACATCAAATATGGTTCTTTCTCGTGCCAAAGGTGTGCTCACTAACCGGCACCAACTCAAAGCGGAAGAAATCTGTCGCACCCGTAGGCACTCCTAAAGGCCACCATCTCTCAGCTTGCGCAGCAAGTAGAGAATGATGTATATATACACAGCATCCCGTTGCCCTGACATCACAATCTGACCCGCCTTTGTGCAAAAGAAACGATCCCGGAATTCAACAGCTGGATATCCATCCCTCTGCAATTGTTCCGTTCTGTAAATGCTCTGTCAACCTGGGAATGGGTCGTGACCCACCATATTCCATCGAACAGTCCACCATTTGCCGCGAGTTTGACCAACACCAGGAAGGTCAACATAGGTCAACACAAGGCATGTCAACTGTTGGATTTGACCCACAGCCACAGGTCAACACGGTCGACCGATGAACCATCAAATGAAATCCAATACGGCTGCGGCCGGCGAGCCGGCGCCCGGATCGCCGCTTTTTCAAGAGATCACCGACACAAGCGACGAGGCGTACAAGCCGCGATGGAAGGTATTCATGGAACGCTTCCAAAGCCTTTACCAAAAACGTTTTCTTAATAAACCGAAAAGACTTGTAGCTTCTTGAATCTAGATCTATACACTTTCTTGTACTTGTTGGCTTATTATGTTTCCCTCATTGCTTCTCTGGCTTACTTCTCTGGTGCACCATGCCCTGCGTCACAGTCCTCCTTCAGGTCACCGACCTGCCTCAACCTCGGCCGCCTTGAGCGCCTCCTCTGGGGTCTTGGCCTCGGACGGCCGCGGGGGGGTGGACCTCAACAGCAAGCGCCAGATCGCAGGGGGCATTTGGTTGGTTCGTAAGGTACGGTTTCATTGTTCGTTTTTCTTATTTGAGGAGCCGATGTGGTGCGAAGAATGGTCCGAAACCTGCAGGTGGGGAAGTTGGTGAAGAATCACGATGAAGGACAACCCCCAACTCATGCGATTCCGCACTGAAGTGCTATATAGTTTTTCTTAATCGCGAGGGTGGATGCCATTCCGCCACTGAATCAGCTCATGTGGCTTCCCTTGTGGTCGGCTGGCGGACAATGTCCATCCCTGTCGCAGCCAGGACTGACTATTTCCTTGCATCAATGGGTTGGAATATCCTGATGAGGAGGATTTCAGCAAACATCGGCAAACTTTGCGAAAGGTCCCCTCCCTCCCACCCTCCCTCCCTCCCTCCCTCCCTCAACCCACCTCACAGATCTCACATCTCTCTCTCTCTCTCCCCCTTTCCCATCTCCCTTTTCCTATCCAAGCATCTTTTCGCAGCTTCCCCCCCCTTGTCTTTGGTGTTTTTTAAAGTCTTCTCATTTTCCTTCCCAGCACCAGCCCCCCCCAAAGGCCTGGCGTTGCTTCTCTCGGTGTTCCGCGAAGAGCTGCAGGAGCTCGTCATCTGCGGACGACGACGTGCGAAGGAGACGATGAGCTGCACAGTCTCCATACGTCGTGGGCTTCGAATTCACAAGGGGAGGACATTCTTGAATCTTATGGGTCCAACCTTGGGGATCCATTCTTGATCAAGGTTAATGATGGGTTATCATACACACAGATCTAAGGGTCCAAGCTTGGGAATGTCCAACCATGTCCAACCTTATGCACGTAAAATACATGCGACCGATGGAGGTGTCCGAGGTGTCCCAACGTGTCCCAACACCACCGGCAGCTCTCACCCAACACCTCCCAAGGCCGTGGAACGGGTCCAGGGTCCTGTCACTCCCCGACCCCGACCGACGTCGACGTTGAGGACCGAGGGATCGATCCGTCGCCCCACCTGAGACGTTGCCCGCACGTTGGAAGATCACGTTCTCCCAGGGCCTGGCGGTGCGAGTGTGGAAGATGCGTTCGGGCCTGAAGGAGTGAAGATCAAATCCCAAACACTCCCTGTATGTACATCCCTGGGGCTCCAAGTACCTCCTTAGGAGGTATTTGGACCCTCTAAACCCACCCCAAACACCTTCTAAGAAGGTCCTTGGAGCCCTAGGGCATATAATTATATAACTACACGAACCCCTTTTCATTTCAACCACCCCTGGCCTGATGCGCATATATGCCAGTCCCATGGAGTGTCAGGGAATGAGTAATGAATGATTCGTGTCTTACGTGAAAAACACATAATTCATGGTCATTACCCAAAAGGGTTATCGATCAAGCGATTATGATTCATGATGCTTGAACAACTCCTGCGAACAGCCTCAAACCACTTAGAAGCAACACAGCACCACCCCTTCATTGGTGTCAAGTCTATATGATTTCATCGCAGGAGGGCATCCAAGTCACTGCCCGTAGTGTTAAAAGATGTATTGAAAGTCTCCAACTTGAACCCAAAGGAGGAACAGCTCGCCAGGAGTTCCATCTCAGAGCTTTTGTTGGGACACTTTGCCAGTGAGTGGATCAAGAGCAGCCTTATCCTCCATCAACTCTTTGGAACAACCTAGAACCCATGTGACCTCCTTTTTGGATAGGAAGGGCCATATATCATATTTTGGATACTTGATTTACTTGATCCTCCAAAACAGGGGTCACTCAGGTTCATACCGCAAACATACGACTCCGTGAGTTTACACCACGTGCAACATACGCCTTCCCGACCAAAACCCCCGGCGGCCCCGACCAGGGGGAGGGGATCTCGTTGCTCTCGCCCGCTTCAAAGACACCCAGCCTCGCCCGCGTACCGCTGTGTGAGGTCCATACATGAGGTCCACAGCAGCTTCGGTGGTGGGAGGGAACTGCGGAGGAGGACATGCGGGGAACTGCGGCAGGAACCTGGATACTGTAGACCATTAGTCCATTAGTATAGTTTGGATCTATCCTACCTGTAACAGTGGATGATGATGGTTAGTAAAGGCCTTGTTCAAAAATAGCAATACAATATTAATATATTGTAATTATCTACTGACTGTTACAGGTAATATCAGGTCATAGGACAGAGTCTAAGTATAGTATCAAATTAATGGAGAACTTTCAAACCGTATTAACAAGTTCCTGACACCTGCTCAAATGACTCTGCATCGCTTCAGAAGCACAGACGTGTCGACGCCCACGCGTCGACGTTTTGGCCGCTCTAAGCACCAAGCTTTTGCGCAAAAGCAAAGATGTCTCGCAAGAAGAGCATGAAATCCTCACAGACTTCACGGAGGTGGCTAAGCCGTTCCAATGGAACGAACGAGGACAACCAGCGGACACCAGGACCTTCACTTCGTGACCTTCAAAGTGAGTCTCTGTTCGTGACCTCATCCTGGGATCTCAACTGTGGTACACTGGATGTCATTATTTCCTACATTACTACTAGGAACAAAACAACTAGTAACATGTGCATCGCAACTAGTAACAAGGGCAATTGCTACTAGTAACAAGAAGCTACGATATACTGGTTCCTGGCATTACTACTAGGCACAACATATTCATCATTTCCTACATCGACTCACCCTGCCGGGATCTCTGTGTCGACTCACTCCGTGTCGACTCAAATCAATCAGGTCGTCTCTCCCCAGACACGACCTGTCTGGGACTGGCTGACTCCCCCAGGACTGCAACTTGGGGTGGTCGGGGTTAGACTTTGGGGTATATTCCAGTCCCACAATTTGGGACACTGAAATACCATGAAATACCCACACTTTGGTGATAGACTTTCGGCCCCAAAGTCTATTCCAGTCCCACAATCTGGGCATGGGACCGAAAGTCTTACCCCTCCTTTCCACACGGACACTCGTCACAGGGCAGGCCCTGCAGGCTCAACTAACGGCCATCATAGTTGATCAAAACTGCGGCTTCTCACAGGTTGAAACAGCTGAACTTGAACTGGGACTCTATGCTGGGCACATATGAAATAGGTGGCATCTACATTTATGGCATTTTGTCGCTGTGAAAAACCTCCCTAATTCACTCTAGGTGAGTTTGACGAAACACTCCCAACCAAACTGACGAACCTCCCTGCAAATCTGTCGGCCTTGCCGTGGTTCATGTGCTTCAGGTGGCAAAGCTCATGCAGCAGAACCTGAGTTTCAAGGACCCAGCTCGCCTGAGACTATATAGAGATCTATAGACTAGTTGTATGTAGATTGGTCGACGTTCTGGGTCAGTCAAAAGGAACTCAATCACTTCAAGGAGAACATTATGGATTCCCAAAGATTTCACTGTTGTTCAATCAAATCTGTCAATTGTATGCTTAAAAAATGGCATATGTATAATTCAGCCCTGTGGTCTACTGCTGACACATCAGTTCTTGTTTGTGTGTCCCGTACAATGCCCGCAGCTTTATCTGGAGCACCGGTTGGAGAACTCATCCAGAATAGGCAGATCTGCCAGTCGAGATGTGGTTCATAAGATCGACAGTCACAGCTTCCCCAAGCCCAAACAAGACCAATGGCACTACCAATGGGACTGGCAGTCCTGACTCCCTATCAGTTGGGGTGGTTGGAACGGGGCGGGTTCAGTTGGTTTTGGTAGCGTACTGTATATATTCCAGTCCGATGGAGTGTTTCGCGACATATTATACAGTTATAATTAGTAAAATATACAAGTAGTTGCTGGGGTATGCCTAGTCGCCTGATCGCTTTGTGTGTGTGTGTGTGGGACCAGCATTTCACGTTGGGCCTTCATCGCGGCTGTTTTACCACCTTTTGCTTCGTCCTCTCTTCTTCGTCCTCTCAGAGGCTTCCTTTGAGGCTTTGACTTGGAACGACCCCGCAGGGTCAGAATGCCCCTTTGCTAGCTAAACAAGTTAAAGCCTTCCTAGCCTCTGAAAAATCCCACGACGTGCTGGCTTGGGCACGAGCACCGAACAGCCAGCCAAGCTGCAGCAATCTGCGTCCCATGCGACAGGAAATCGCTCTGGGGATCCTTGGTTCAGAACAACGAGGCTCTGCAACATGACGTGCAGAACGAACGACAAGTGACATAGCAGAAACAGGACATGAGATGCCATCAGCTTCATCGAAAGCTGTCCTCAACCGTAGGAGATGCACATCTATAGAAGACATATGATGATGAATAATTACCTGTTGGCACACATCATTTCTGGGCGAAGCTGGGCAATCCGGACGCCCTTGGTGGGGTGCAGTCTCAAGCGTAAGCGGATGGTCACCAGGTACCGTGTCTCCTGCTCGAAGTGAGGCCGCAATGGATGAGGAACATGAGTAGGACATCGGAGTGCACGGAGAGCCACAAATTGACCAAACAAACTGATGTCTTGCAGAAACAACTGATGTCTTGCAGATCGGGTTTTGCGGGATCATCACCTCTATGGGGAGAACTCAGGGAATAGATTCAAAAGATATTGCGGGCGCATGGTGTTTCATTCCATGTTTTACATGATGGCAGCGCCCCGAAACCATCCAGCCCCTCCTAGACACTCCACGGTGACCGAGGTGGATGCACGTGGTGATCACGGTGCCGTCTCGGTGGGACGGTTCGCACGTGCCTCGGAACCGTGGTTATCGTAAGACCTCGGAACTGGCTTGCCCACCATGGGGATTTCTCTCGCAGAATTCCAGGGTTTGGTTTCTGTGGATGACCATGGAATTGGATCCAATTGGCATGTCAGGAGTCTTCCTGCTTGCCCTCAAAGTCCCAGAACTACAAACAACATCACAACTCACGGACTCCAGGCTTGTTTGACTACAGATCATCAGGTACTATTAGAATCTATTGGAACCTTTCTGTTTAACCACCCATCTCTGAGATTCTATGTCGGTCTGGAAAGGAAACAAACAAAAGCATGGCCGAACAATGCCGAAAGGGTCTGAGTCTGGGTGAAACGGCTGTTCCTCCTAATTCAATTCTCTTCTATATAAGCCTATATATCATTGTATATCTATATATACCGTTATATACCTGGACAATCCAAAGTGCAGGGTAGTTCATTGGACACGCATTGGATGGTCCTGGTATATATGATTATGGATGTGAATATCTACAGCCTCCATTGTCTGTGCTCTCACTGGTTGTTGTTTCCCTTGGTTGATCATCCCAGTGCTGTCGAGCTCTCCTGGATCTCAGTGCCGTCGGGCCCCTGCTTCCTTGGTGCCCGTGCTTCTGTATTGAAGAAGGACCACATGAAATCGAAGCAAGTCCTATAGCAGTTTAAGCGTCGATTTTAACAAACAATATTCAAATAACCAACAAACACATCGACAACTCAAACTCAAACCGAGCAAACATCGATCATCTAAAGCACACCCAGGTTTATGAGAAGAACTCGTGAATGAACCCCCAGTTGTTGGGGCTGGCTCCGAAGTTCATCTATAAGGAGCTGTTCATCTCAGCTGTTCTCATCTTGAGTTTAGTCCCAAACCTTGGGAAAGCAACAGCAGTCTGACAGGAAAACGAACACCAAAATCAAAGGGGACATGCACGACACTTGAAATATGTTCTTCCACACGGTAGCACTCACTTTGTGCCTAAAGGTCGACCTGCGTATGTCGGGGTGAAAACTGTGCATGAAAACTTCACTCCGCTCTTGCTCTGTATCGTGAGCGGTGCTTCTTAGCCGGAGCAATGCGTACAGGCTCGACGGCTCAAGATCTTGTGGGTCGCACGACCTTGCAAGACATGGCAGCTTTTCTTTGCATGCCAAACTTCCCCTGTCGGAGCGTAAAAGATCTCCTTTCCAAGGGGGCACAATTCCTTGTGCAACTCAAGGCCTCGCTCAGCCGCAGCGGAACTTGCCGAGGTGGACGTGATGTCCTCGTACTGGCGAAGTCGGTGCCGGAGACGAGTGTGGGCCGTCTCCTCCAG